AACAATAGCACAAATGAGCCTACTTTAGCCACGGGAACACTAGTTCCGTTGGGAATCTTAACAGGCCGACTAGTGGAATCCAATATCACATCACTTAACATAGAATCATCGAACACAATATGCTCGTTGCAACCTGAGTCGATCAACCATTCAGAACTTGGAAACGACATACCTGCCATGTTGGAGGATGGTGAGTCAGCTGATGGCGACTGGAAAAAGAAAAGCTTGAGTTGCTCAAGCTGCTGCATACTGAAGCCCGGAACCGGACTCTCAACTTCGACCTGTGATGCCTTTGGATTCTGCCCGCTAACTGAGTTGCGACGACGACGACCATTTTGGCCATTACCAGCTGCTTCTTGCGGTGACTTGTCCTTGTCTGGCCATCCAATTATATCATAACAAGTTTCTTTGTGATGACCAGGTTTGCCGCAATGAGAGCATTTTGGACGAATTCTTTCACGACCATCAGTTTGACGAGACGCGACGCGATCACCTTCTTCCTGAGTGTGAAAGGCAGGGCATCAGGCTGTGGCCTGCGTTTTTGGGCGATGAGTCGCTGCTGCTCATCAGACAAGACAATATTGAATGCTTTCGTGAGACTTGGAGTTGGCTTCATGGTGAGGACCTGCGTACGAACTGTGCCGAAACTATCATCCAGACCCATCAAGAAGTCAAAGAGACGATTACTCTCATCTCTTTCTCTTGTGCGACGCTCAAGCCCACATGTGCAAAGTCCACAATTGCACTTCGGCGACGGGGAGATGGATTGTGACTCCTCCTAATAGGTACGCAGACGAGTGTAAAAGGATGATACACTCAATTTTTCTTGTTGCAGCAGGCTAACAAGAGGATGAATCTCGTACGCTCGAGATGCACTTCCTTGACCAAACCGATCCCTCAAATCAGTCCAGATTTCTTGTGCTGTTCGAGCATACCTGACATTAGCACGTACTTCTTTGTCCATCGCGGTGCGTAACCACCCTTTGACGATGGAGTCACACCTAGTCCATGCGATGAGATCAGGATTCGTGGTGGGCTTCTCAATGGTGCCGTCTACGAACCCAAACTTGTTTTTGATTATGAGAGCATCGGTCATCTCAATAACCCATTCTTCATAATTGCTTGACGTGAGAACATCTCCAACCTGCAATTGACTTGCAGCCTCTGACGGATGGAGATACAACGGTGATGACTGATCTTTCTCAACACTGACAATGGCGGACGAGGAGCCCATTGGCTGCTTCTCATCGTCGCCCATGGTGAGAAGATAAAACTGTGATCAACAAGACTTTGGATCAATGCTCTGATACCATGAGAAAAAGTGAAACGTTGCGGAAGAGTAATACGAACACGAGATTTTACGTGGTTCAGCCTCACAGTGTGTGAGACCTACGTCCACAGAACACGACTACTTCTTTATTGACTTACGGCCATTGGCCTTACACAAGAGCTATATATAAGCTCCTTTCTCACGTCTATAACAGTACAAACAATTCTATCCCAACTAGGAATAGGAGAGGGATTATTACTTCCCGTACAAGTAACTTGCCTAACCCTATGCTTATTGGAAGCAGACTCTTCTTCCTCAACTGGGTAGGCTGAACGAGGCAGCAAATGGGTAGAACCCTCTCGGCCCAATAAAAACGTTTTGGTGATCTAGAAGCGTAAAATCGTAATTTTTTAAATTTTAAAATAGAGTTTTTAAGTTTTAAAGCAGGGTTTTTAACAACGCACAATCATTCCGATCATTATTCTATCGATTTTAAATATTTTTTCACAGGATAAACACACATTATAATATTAGATTAAAAACTGAAGAAGGTAGTTATCCTCTTCTAGACTGTACGTAACCCCAGCCCCAGCACTAAAAATCCGAATATCCAACTCATGTTAATAATTGAAGTTGTTGTGAAAAAATAAAAACAAATGTTGATATCATTAATAGGGAATACTAAATTCTCACGTATTTGATCATTGAAAGAAACATGTAATTAAAAAAATATTTACTAAAAACATGTAACTAATTACTAGATTGATTGAGGTCGTGGTCGTCGGTGGTCATGCACGTTAAGTATCAGATGCTATGGGGAACTAACTCGCAGGTCTGGAACAAAGGTCTTGTTTGCCTGTTCCAAGAAATATTTGTTATCTTTCCCTTTTGTTAACCAATTGGAGTATAGGACCTTCTTTAAACATCAATCTCTATCGCCTAGAAAATATTGCGGTGCTATCAAATTTGTTCACGTAATTTGAGTTGAATGATTCAATTTGGATTTCTTCACAACGAGAAAATAGAAACCTTACTTGTCGGGACTACTTGTATGCATTCATAGTTATTAGTTTATATTTTGCGTCAATAGTGTTTCTATGTTATCAATATGAGCACTAGCCATGATTTTATTCAAGGGATTGTCATAAAAAATTTATATACACGGTCTCCTGTTTCGTATTGTAAAATTATTCTAAAACTATATAAGTCGTTGGTCAAATAATAATGATTGCCAAACAACCATTAACAATTTTATTTCACTTGATACGAAGATAGTTTAATTGTTTCATTGCATAAAATGTTATTAACTTGTGTATTGATAGCTGGCAGTAGCAAATCAAATCTATTTTCACAAGCAAATACTTTGACGGAAATTAGTTTTCTCTTTCGACTATAGTTATCATAAAAATTTAATAATTTCCTCTAATTATTTGCACCTCTTATCTATCTTGATAAACTAGAATGTATAAATGTTGAAATTTATAGATAAAATTAATTTATATAGTCTATTGTGGTTTACGATAAATGATTTCATGATTGACATTAAATTTAGAATTTAAATAACATTGTACTTTTCTTCAAATCTAAGGTGGTGCTATCAGCTACGGACCTCACTCATTAACCTCTACCTCCTCCCCTGAATATGAGGATTGTGTTCTTAAATTTCATCTTTGTTAACTTTTATTGTTAGTGCTCAATGATCATCGTACTAATTGTTTCACTTGACTTGAGATTTTTTTGTCACATGAACTTAAAAAAATTGTTCATTAAATAAACATTGACAATATCAACTTGTTTAGTCATAACCATTAACTTTGTGACAATAATAGCAGATAAAATAAAACAAACTAAGGTCTCCCCCGCTTCCGATAATCCTTCCTCCCACCTCCACCTGCTTCTGATGACTCCCCCAGCATTAGGGGTGGCTATACGGTCCGGTCCGGTTAAATTGGCCCAAATTGATCCGGTCCAGTCCGGTCTTTCTGAAAATATAAGGACCGAAGATTGGATTGGATACAGTCCGGTCTTGATCCGGTCCGGTTTTGATCTGGTCTGGTCCCAATTCGGTCTTGATTTTACATTGAGATTGTGGGATTTGAGTGGCCTAAGGCCTTAAAGGGTGAGGAGTTGGTTAAGTTTTGTACTAAGTGCAAAGGTTTGTGACCGTTTATGCAAATTACCCTTAAGTTTTGGGTGTTGAGCTCTCTTATCCGGTATTTATCCGGTTTTTTACCTCAAATCTAAGCCCAAAGATTGGATTGGATTGTTTACTACCCGGTCCCGGTCCGGTCTCGATCAGAATTATACGGTCCGATTTCCGGTTTTTAATCCGATCCCGGTCCAAATAGCCACCCCTACCCAGCATTACTCAAGTTGTCCCACCTCCATATGTAATTCATGCCCAAAATCAAGTTCTACCCAAACCTCGATCGCAATTGTCATATGCCCCTCTTCGGTCACCCTCTCCCTCTTGATAATAGATTCCGAAATTGATCAAAAAAATTGACAAAGAATAATATGATTTTACATTGATCCTTGGAATTTCAGGATTAATCAACGGAGAGTGTAAACTCTTCAGGCTAATATTATTGATAAACAAAACCCTTACAGAAATCCCTTCACCCAACGCGAGCGAAACCCTCCGTCTCCCACAAAGCCCCTCCTCCGCCTCCGCTGAAATTCTTTCTCCCCTGAAGTTTCAATCTCCGGCGGCGGCGGCTTCCAGTTTCTCCTAGCTAGTGCCTGGAGCAGGAAGCTCTTCTCCCGCCATGATCCCGAGTCCCAGTCTATTGTGAACTACCGATATCCCCTTTCGGCGACCATGTGGGTCTTTCTCGACGATGCACAACAGAGCTTCTTGAGAGCAACGAATGAGAAGGCAATGAGTTACGTACGTAGATAATAATGGTTAAATTATATGCGCTCCGCTTGATTCCGCCACTCACTTCTTGATATCAACCCAATATACAAATTCATTCTTTGTTCAACTTATTTAGAGGGTTTTCTTTAAACTGGAAGTCTAGAACATAGTGCTTATCGAGTGAGATCCATTAATGGCTAAGGGACAGAATCTATATTAAGGATTGGCAGATGGAGGTGTGGCGCTAGATTCCCGGTTCCGCAACTCCAGGCTGCTTCAGTCATCGACGAGGGGAAATCGAGAGCCACCGTCGGGGATTGAGACTTCAGGGGAGAATGAATTTCAGGGGAGGCGGGGCTTTGTGGGAGATGGATGGTTTCGCGTTGGGTGGAGGGATTTTTTAAGGGTTTTGCTTTAATTTTAATTATATTGAGACTATTAATAATTAAATCTAATTAGCATAAAATGAGGGGCAATTAAGTCATTTTCAACCCCATTTAACAGCCGTTTAACAGAAAATTAGCCAGAAGATTATATTTGTTATGTTTTAATAGTAGAAGGGTATGTTTGAGCAAAAAATTAATAGAGGGGTACGTTTGTTAATTTGTGATAGTAGATGGGTAGAAAATGCTATTAACCCTATAATTTAATAGCCAAACCTTTTCGTTCTAAACAAAATAATAGCCAAACCTTTAAAAAAAAAATAATAGCCAAGTGTAAAGTGAGATGGATTGTTTTTTACGACGTGATACTAAGTCAAATATTTGACCTAGCCATATAGATGTTACATAATTTTATAAAATAATATTTTCAGAAATTTTTTTTAAGAAAATTTAATCATCTTTATCTTTTCTCTTTATCCCTCTCCGACATCACCTTCTCTAATCCCTACATCCCTCCCCACTCCCCAGTTCTCCTCCCCACCTCAAGATTCGGATCTAGATCCAGAGAGAAAAAGGCCATCCACTACTCCGATTATGAACTGCAACAACAGGACTCACTTCCCTGTCCCTCTCGCCTCCCCCCACCAGAGGAACATGAGCTTGATCGGCGGCGTAATATCAGACCTCGCGACGACTCTGTCTCATGCAATTAGCGCTCTTAGACACCATGAGAAAAAGATTCGACGTTGGGGGTTTTGGTTGGATTTTGAGCTTGTGTGGCAGTTCATCAAGTTCAACCACTGCGTGGCGATTACGGTGTCCAAGAGCGAGTACATGAGATCCCTTCAGGGGGAGGAACTGAGGAAGGGTTTGAACTTTGAAGCCATGTTCGGCTACTTGGAGCAGCTGAAGGGGCTATTCGTAGCGGAGAAGCCGAATATACTGGCTTAGTGGCGTTAACAACAAATTTGATATGGAAAACCTAAAACCTTAATTCTCTTTCATTCATCTCAAGCCTTTATAGGCAGATAAAAGGAAAAGACAAACCAGCTCCTTACAAGTTGTTTGGTAGCTTAGTTGGGAAACAAAATACAACTTGTGCAGAAAGTAAATAACATAACGTGCAAACAATAAACGGTGACGTTTAACAAAGTAAGTGAACAAGAGCGGAACGACGTCGCTGCACCCTTCTTCTTCCTCTAAGACACAGACGACCGTTGGAATTGAAAAGAGGGATGCATTTTCAATTTGGACATCCTGCCACCACCGGGGCCCCCCCCCGGGCAAGCTGGAGGGCACAAATTGTGGACATCAAGCTTGGAGAAAATCTGATGAAAAGGCGCCGGCGATACCGGCTTAGTGAAGAGATCAGCCAATTGGTGATTCGAAGAAACGTGGAGCAACTTGATGATTCCAGATTGAAGCTTTTCACGAACGATATGGCAGTCGAGCTAGATATGCTTCATTCGTTCGTGAAAAGTAGGATTGTTGACGATGTAGATGGATCTCTGATTGTCGCAAAATATAGTACCGGGCTGTGTCTGAGGGACCTGGAAAACGCGGAGTAGATAGACTAACCATTGGAATTCACAAGTGGTGTAAGCTAGAGCTCGATACTCTGCTTCACAAGAGGAGCGGGAGACAGTCTTTTGCTTCTTGCTTTTCCACGAGATAAGGGAGGCCCCAAGGTAAACACAATAACCTGTGATAGATCTCCTTGTATCGACACATGCTGCCCAATCTGAATCAGTGAATACTTTCAATTGAAAAGAGCCAGTAAAGGGAAAGAAGAGGCCTGTGGCAGGGGAAGTCTTTAAGTATCTGAGAATTCAAAGAAATGCCTTGTAATGGGATGTGCTAGGATTTGACATAAACTGGCTCAATTGTTGGGTAGCATAGCTTATATAAGGTCTAGTAGTGGTAAGATAGATGAGCTTGCCAACAAGAGTTCTGTAATGCTCAGGGTCTTCATATGGTGTGTCCACAGCACTAGATAAGTGTGCTTTGTAATTCATAGGTGTTGTCACTATTTTAGATTCTAACAGGCTAGCTTCTTCAATGATCTCCAATGTATACTTTCTTTGAGATAAATGAATGCCCTTGTTGTTTCTGGCCACTTCAATCCCTAAGAAAAACCATAATGTTCCCAAGTCTTTGATGCTGAATTCTTGATGCAGAAAACGTTTCAAAGATGTGATCTCTTGGAGATCATTTCCACCAACCAATAAGTCAACGACATAGATAAGTATGCAAGTGTATGAAGAATCTGTGACTTTGTAAAATAGAGAATGGTCTGCCATGCTTTGAATGTACCCCAGTAGTTGAATCTTGTCTATCAATTTAGAAAACCATTGGTGAGAGGCCTTTTAAATCATAGAGGGACTTCCTTAACCTGCAAACAGGATTTTGAAAACCTGGAGGAGCATCATAACCTTTAGGAAGAGTCATATAGACTTTCTCATGGAGATCCCCATGAAGGAAGGCATTATTCACATCAAGTTGGTGAATATGCCAATTCCTATGAGCAGCAATAGAAAGAAAGGTTCTGACTGTAGTCATCTTAACCACAAGAGCAAAAGTGTCCTGATAATCCACTCCTTCCTGTTGTGTGTTTCCTTTAGCTACAAGGCGAGCCCTTAACTTGTCTAAGCTCACATCTGATTCAAACTTTGTTTTGTACACCCATTTGTTCCCAATAGGTTTCTTGTTTGGTGGTAATTCCACTACATCCCATGTGTGGTTCTGAATTAAGGCCTTAATTTCATTCTGCAGATTTAGAAGCTTCCCTGTATGTATCAGGGTCATGATGGGAGTACATATTGAGGACAAACTGTCTGTAATGAGGGGAAAGTTTTTCATATGAGACTAGAGAAGATAGGGCAAACCTTGTATATGGAACCTGAGGCAAATGAGAAGAACTGGCAGTGCTAGATTGAGTGGCCATATAACAGTGATAGTCTTTGACAAAACGAGTGGGGGGTTTGATTACTCTGTCTGATTTTCTGAGAGGGACAGGAGGTGTTGGGGGAAAGGGTCTGGAGGCCGTTGGAGCAGTAGAAGGTGATGGGATCTAAGGAGGATCAGTGGAGACAGTAGGAGATGAAGATGGTTGATTAGTTTGAGAAGGAGGAGTTGGAATGACAGTTGGAGTTTGGACTGGAGGAGGTGGAAAAAAGGTTTGATCATCTGGAAATGTAGGTGAAGTAATGGATGGAAGGGGAAAGAAGAAGTCAGAAGTGTCTGAATCTGTGGAAGAAAGACTGGTTGAATGTGATGTATGAAAAGGGAATTCTGTTTCATAAAAAATGACATCTCTTGAAATGAAAATGTCATGAGATGATAGATCATAGATCCTTTATGCCAGAAGGATACCCCAGAAACACTCCTTTTCTAGCCCTAGGCTGAAATTTGGTTCTGTGTTTGCCTTGGGTGCTAGCATAGCACAATGATCCAAATACTTTGAGGTCAGTGAGGTCTGGAGGAGATTTATGGAGGTATTCATAGGGTGTTTTGTTTTTGAGGACTGAAGACGGGACCCTATTGATCAAATAAACAGTATGTTTGATGCAATCACCCCCAAAAACTAGCAGGTAGGTTGGCTTGAAATTTTAGTGCTCTGGCTACTGCTAAAACATGTTGATGCTTTCGTTCTACTTTGCTATTTTGTTGAGGAGTTTCAACACAGCTCATCTCATGTACAATGCCTGTGGTTTGAAAATAATCTTCCATGAGAAATTCCTTTCCCTGGTCACTCCTTATCCTTTTAATGACAGAGTTAAATTGCTTCTTCATTTGAGTACAGAAGGCAATCAATTTGGACCTAGCATCAGACTTGAGAGAAAGCAAAATAACCCATGTCATTCTAGTAAAATCATCTACTATCGTTAAGAAGTATTTAAATCCATCATAACTTGGGACAGGATTAGGACCCCATATGTCAACATGTAGGAGTTCAAAAGCATATTGAGTTACAGAATGGCTCAATGGAAAAAGAAGTCTCCTTTGCTTAGCAAAGTGACAAACATCACATGATAAGTCTCTCTGAGTTTGAATGGACGTACAAAATTGGGAGAGATGTGGAATTTTGGAGTGGGAAACATGTCCTAAACGAAAATTCCACAGATCAATGGAAGGAGAGATGACTGCTGAGATGTATTTAGGTGGACTAGGGATTTCTAGGTAGTATGGGCCATTGATCAATCTAGCAGAACCAGTTAGTCTCATCTGCTTCAGATCCTGTAGAAGACAAAGGTTAGAATGGAATGTCAAACTCAGTGAGTTGTGGGTTGTCAATTTGCTCACTGAAATCAAATTGAATGTAAAATTTGGAACATAGAGAGCATTGTGAAGGACGAGGTTCTCAGTCAAGGTAGTGGTGCCACTATGAGTGGCTTGAATCTGTTCTCCAGTTGGTAAAGTGATAAAGACATCCTTGAGTACTTTAGGAGTCTCAAGATAATCAAGAGAAGAAACAATGTGATCAGATGCTCCTGTATCAAGGATCCATCTGTCCTGTTTGTGAGAAGAGGCATTGAGAATTGGTAGTGTCACTGGACACTGAGATAATGTACCTGAGTTGGTGACAAAGGCTGCTGCAGTGTGAGAAGACTAACCCTTCTGAGAGACCGTCAAGCTCATCAATTGTTCATATTCAGACCTGGTAAGTTTGATATCTTCATCTGGCTGAGAAGTAGAGGTAGAGTTGACATAACCTCGGCCTCTGCCATAGCTGTTGTTTTGATTCCTGGGAACAAAATCTGATGGAAAACCATGTTTCTTGAAACATTTGTCCTCGGTATGACCATGCTTTTTGCAGAAGGTGCATTCTACCACTTTCCCAGGAGCTGAAGCAGGTAGCCTAGAACCATAACCATTTGGCCATCCATGCTTTTGGTAACAAGTATCTTCTGTGTGGCCTTCTTTCTTCAGAAGGTACAGAAAGGCCTCTTGATAGGCATAGTAGATCTTCTGTTGTTGCCTTGCATAGCAAAAACTGGATTTTATGAATGCACAGAAGCAACCAGCTTGCCAGTTTGTGTGCCATATAGTTGGCGTTCATGTTGCAACATTCTTTGGAAGACTCTATTAATATTGGGAAGCTCATCTCCAAACAACACTTGGGATCTAACTCCAGAGAAGTTCTCATTGAGTCCTCGAAGGAACTTAATCACATAACTAGTCTCCTGATATTCTAGAACTATTTTCATAGCTGTGCTGGTCAGGTGACTAGTAGGCGTACAATCACAAGGCAATAATGGTTGGTAGTTTTCAAGCTCATCCCTAAGAGTAATAACATTTCCATAATATTCTATGACTGTTTGATTTCCTTGTTTAAGACTAGAAAGAGCTTCTTCTAGCTCAGCAACTCGCACAATATCACCAGAACCATACCTGGTCTGAAGACTTTTCCATGCTTCAACAGCTGATTTAACAGAAAGAATGGTCTTCCTAATCTCTGACACTACTGACTGTTGAATCCATCTTAGGATCATTACATTGTTTCTGATCCAAGCACCATACTTTGGATCTGTCTCTGCAGGTTGTGGAATCGTGCCATTAATGAAGCCTAACTTGTTCTTTGCAGCCAAGGCATTGAACATAGCGCGGCTCCAGTCGTTGTAGTTCGTTGTAGTGAGGCGTTTTGCAACCAAAAGTGACCCTGGCTGCTCTGAACCACGAAGGAAGTAAGGATCTTCCATTGGATAGACAATCTGCTGAACTTGAGGCTGCTCGTTAGCAACTTAGTTATCTGCCATTGTTGGCGGCGGCTAGGTTTTGTGGTGAGGCTCTGATACCATAAAAACAAATTTGATATGGAAACCCTAAAAACTTACTTCTCTTTCATTCATCTCAAGCCTTTATAGGCAGATCAAAGGAAGAAGACAAAGCAGCTCCATACAAGTTGTTTGGTAGCTTGGTTGGGAAACAAAGTACAACTTGTGCAGAAAGTAAAGAACATAACGTGCAAACAATAAACGGTGACGTTTAACAAAGTAAGTGAACAAGAGCGGAACGACGTCGCTGCACCCTTCTTCTTCCTCTAAGACACAGACGATCGTTGGAATTGAAAAGAGGGATGCATTTTCAATTTGGACTTCCTATTAGGCGTCACGAGCTGGAAGCCTGTGTGTTTGGCGGTAATGGGGAAGCCGACCCCGGGTTCTGGAATTTAACGGTGCTGGTTGATTCGGTCGATGGAGGCTTGAATCATGTTGGAGGAGGAGAAGATGGCGGTTTTCGAGAGGGATCATGAGTTCTTGGCCCTTGCTAATCCCAATCCTATAATCTCGGGCCTTTGAAGGTGGGAAAGTGGTTGTTGATATCCTAGCCTGTGTGATTTGGTTTTGCTAGGTGACGTTGGGGAGGGATGAAGAGAGAAGATAAATATGATTTAATTTTGTAAATTTAATTTATTTATTTTTCTTAAAATAAAAATTATTTTATAAAATTATGTAATATCCATATGGTATGGTCAAATATTTGACTTTGTGCCACGTTATATAAAACAATCCACCTCATTTTACACTTTGCCATGTTAGAATCAACTAACGGTCAAACGGATGGAAAGTTAATGATTTGGCTATTATTTTTGTTTTTTTTTTGGAAGGTTTGCCTATTATTTTGTTTAGAACGAAAGGTGACGAGAACTCAAGAAAAAGACACACTGAACGAACCCTAGAGATCGACTTGCTACCCTGTAGCCCTCTATGTTAGTCTCTCATGCATTGGTCAAATGGGTTATACATAGATGGGCTTTACAATGGGTTATACACATTTGGGCTATGAGACTAACAATCTCCCCCAATTGATGTTGATCACAAAACATCAATTTGATAGACATATACGTATGTCATGTTGAGAAGAAATTGGTCAGAATATCTGCAACCTATTCGTTGTACGAATGTAGTTAATGGTAATAGTACCATATAGTACCAAACTACCTATGCAACGTAGGAAATGTTTGGACGAGTAGTAGCTAAGTAGATAAGACCAAGGTTAAAGAAGGCGATAGGCGATAGGCAAGCTTTGGGCAACTACCTAGTACCTAGCTTGACTAAGCGGTGCCTAGGCGACGCTTAGGCGTTTTAATTAGGAAAAGTAGCAATTTTAAGTTGAAATACCAATTTTATAGCATGGTTTTACTTTCGTTCAATTTCAAATTTTAATAACTTAGCTAAATCTTAACAATAATAAAAATAAGTCATGACCTAGAATTACAATGCCAAATATAGGAATGAGTGAATGATGAGTTGAATATAAGACAACTAGAGATGACGTCGTTTGGAAAGTTTATCTAGAATTCTTTTAAACCTTTGTCTACTAGTGCAATTAAGCACGGCTCATTTCGATTAATCATACCTCAAACTGATTAATCGTGCCTATTTTTACTAAGAATTGCTTATGCGTTCATAACGCCTAATTATTGGCATATTACCTACACAAGGATTTTTTTCACTACCTAGTTGCGCCTAGGCGTACACGTAATTACACCTTCTTGAACAATAAGTAAGAATACCAATTATGGGCTAAATGCAAGTTTGGTCACTTGAATTACCAGTAAGTTCACGTTAGCCACTAGAATTTCTTTATTCCATCCGTAGTCACTTAAATTAGGTTAACAGTTCAAGTTTGGTCAATGGCCGTTAGTCTCCGTTAACTTTCGCTGATGTGGCAGTCAACTTTAATAGTTGACTATTAAATGTGTGAAGTGGCAAATAAAATATAATTACAAAAATAAAAATTAATCTTTTTAATTTCCACCTCAGTTTAAAAATGTATTAAAATTAATTATAGTTACTAAAATAATAATGTAAAACTTTGAGAAATTGAAAATTAACCTTCTTCAAAGTTGGAGACCGGCGGCCGATCTATCTCCTTGAGGCCGATCTTGGTGAAAAATCTGAACTTCCCAGAATCCTTTCTGACCGATATCTTTTTCTTCCTCCTCATTTTTCAAACAGTATAAAAACCTAATCTCCATCAAAATACCCATCCAAGAACGCCTTCCCCCCCTCGCCATCGTTGGACTCGCATGCTCTGAAAGAGCTTTCCGCATGCAACCGTGAGGATAAGGATAAGGCTAATCGGTTGAACCGATTTATCAGGTGATTGGTGAAGTCCAGGAGATGGCAATTAGGGCTGGAGATTCGAATATAGGTTGTCGGTTCACCTGCGGTTAAACCGATAACTGACGATTAACCAGTAACCAAAAATCAAAAGCATCCGGCGGTTGTCGGATGACCAATTTCTGTGTCGGTTGACCGAGTAACCGACAGTAATAACCTTCGGTTAACCGGCTAACCGAAACACAACCCCCCCTCCTTTACCCCCCAAAGCGACCCCGCCCCTAACCCCTCCTAACTCTAATTGACCTAATCCAGCAAATCGAGTCCTGACCCGGCCGCCCCCTGATTCTTAGTCTTCGCGAATCCCTCCACCCTTATTGTTCTCTCCTCTGCGTAGTGCGTAGCGACGACGACAAACCAGAGAGGCAGAGACGCCGTCGGCGCCTTGCTCCGCCAACGCGAAGTCGCCGCCCGCCAGCGCCTTCGCTCCGCCTCCGCGACCTCGCCTCGGCGCTACCATCGCCTCGGCCTCCTCAGCTCGCAGCCTCGTAGTCCTCCTCCTCCCCGCGCGACGCTGTCTCTGTGCGACCCCGCCCTCGTCAAGAGCTCCGCCAGCGCCCTTCCTTCTCGGCGAACGCCGAATAGTGCCCCTCTGCAGGCCTGCACCGCCATCTCCATCCCCGAACAGCACGTTGTTATACTAAAAATTTAACATTATGTAAGTTTTTAACTTTTTTGAATGATGATTGATGATGAATTAAACTTACACGGTCCATTTTTTCTATTACCATAACCTCATTGTAAGTTAATAGGAGTTGATGATGAATTGATAATGGACAATGGTTCATGGTTGTGTTAGTTGATGATGACTTGATAATGAATTGATAATGTTTGTGTTGATGTTGAAATATGAATGATGATTGATGATGAGTTTGAATTTTGATACTTTAATGTTTGTGATTAGTAATGTATATTAATGTGACTATGTGAGTTGATGTTTCTTAGTTAGAATATGTTAGAATTTCTTTGAATCGGTAATTGAGTTTCAGTTTCTCAATTTGTGTAAGTGTTTCTGTAGGACAAGACCTCTGGCTCCTCGTGGTGGACGTGGTGGGGATGTGTCCATATTGCTACGACTGCTACTCGTGGTGGGAGACCTCCGGCTCCTCGAGGTTGTGGTGGTGCGACTGCTCCTGTTCAGACCCGAGGTCGTGGTGGGCGTACGGGAAGTAACCTATTCAAGCTACTGAAGCTGAACCGTCTTCATCAACTCCATCGATTCCTGCACCTGTCGAGACTCCTTCTGTTGACCTGAGTACTCCTGATTCAGAGACAGCTACAGAAGACATTTTTTACTGCGAGAAATGGTTGAAGACGGTGGGTAAAGCTCCTTGTTGGAAGGTGTTTAAGAAGGTGATAGTTGACAACTACCCGATGAGAGAGTGCATACAATGTCATACTCTAATCAAAGCTCATCTTCAAAAAAATGGGACCACTGCAATGAATAACCACAAGCACTCATGTTTGGCTAAGTTGGCAGCAACAAAAAATCAGAAAGTATTGCAGCCATCGGAAGGTGGTCAAGTAAGTGGTTTTTGGAAGTTTGATAAGGGAAAAGCTAGATATGCATTAGCCAGTATGATCATTATGGATGAATTGTCATTTTGCTTTGTGGAGAGGGAAGGATTTAAGCATTTCATTTTCTGCTGTTCGGCCATTGTTTATGATACCTGGGAGGAAAGCTATAAGAGATGATTGCTTTCATATCTCCTTGGATAAAAAGGTGGATTTAATTGATTTTTTTGAATCAAGGAGCCAAGGAAGAGTTTCAATCACTACGGATACATGGACTTCTGATAACAACAAGAATTGTATGTGTGTTATTGCTCACTTTATTGGAGGTGATTGGAAGTTGCAGAAGAATGTGATAGCATTTGTTCCATCGCAAGTCATACTAGAGTTGATATTGCAGGAGTTCTTGAAGAGTGGAAGGTGAAGAATCTGTTTTGCATGACCATGGACAATGCAACTTCAAATGATGTTTCGATGTGTTGCACACATCATTAATATGGTGGTACAAGATGGACTGAAAGTGGTTTGTGGTGTTGTGGACAGAGTTCGGGATTGTGTGAATTGGGTGAGGTCTTCACCAGCTAGGTTGTTATGGTCCAAGAATGGCATGGAATTTCTGCATGTGGAGTCAACCACACTGGTGTCTTTGGATGTACCGACCAGGTGGAAATCCACCTATACCATGTTAGAGTCAGCAGAAAGTTTTGATGCAGTGTTTACAACTTTGTATTAAAGCAAAACGATCATTCACTTAGAGATTATCTTGCCTCAAGTGGTGGGCTTCCAACTAATCAAGATTGACAGATGAATAGGAAGTTGAAAGACTATATAAAAGTCTTCAATGACTTGACCCTTCTAGTCTCTGGTAAGTGAAATTTCTGAATTGCATTGTTTTATTTAAATTTTTTAACCATTTGCCCATTTCTATTTGTTTTATTCTAATCTTCTGTGTTATCTTCTCATTGTACAAGAACTAAATATGTGACTATCCATATCTTCTTCACGAAGCTTGTTACGATATATGACATCATTGAGCAATTGAAGAATGATTCGGATAAAGAGATCCAAAAGATGGCTGAGAAGGTTGAGGAAAAGGTACAAAAGTATTGGTTTGAGTCATGTGTTGTGAATGATAAGAACATGAAGGTGAACCACTTAATTTATATAGCATGTGTGTTTGATCCAAGAAGTAAACTTGATTTGGTGTCCGAGGTTTTGGAAATGATGTATGGGAATGTGAAGGGAGGAGAAATGGTTGACTGCACTAGGTCGGAAATGCGACAGTTGTTTGAGGTTTACAAAGGGATGTATGGATCAAAAGCACCCTCCTCTGCATCTGAGCCTACCACTGGTGAGAGCACGGCTGGTGGTGATATGATTAAGCAGCTTATGGAGAGGCTTAGTAAGAGGAAAAGGGAAGCACTTCTGCAGGATACAGGAGGTAGCTTTGCTGAGCTTGACATCTATTTAAGATGTCAAACTGATGGCATCAATGAGGAGAATGATGATGCCAAGTTTGACATCTTGAGTTGGTGGTCTCGACACTCTGGAACATATCCGATTCTTGCTGAGATGGCTAAGGATATCCTAGATGTTCCCATCTCTTCTGTTGCCTCAGAGGCAACCTTCAGCTGTGGCAGTCGAATTCTTAGTCCATTCAGGTCAACTTTGAGTGATATCATGTTGGAGGCATTGATTTGTGCAGAGGATTGGATAAAGTATCAAACTACAGGGGCCGGAGAGAATGACGAGAGGGAAGATGATGAAGAGATCATGGATTTGGAAAGCGGTAAGTTCTAAAACTCTCTTAATTATTGTTTTTTCAAGTAAACAAATACTATTTCTTTCCACCTAATTCAATGTATGAATATTCTAACACTTTGTTTTCTTTTTTCTTACTCAGTTAATACCACTTTCCAGTCTAGAATGGAAAGTGCAAGTGATGTTGGTAATGTTGCCAATGTAGATGCAAGTCTGAACATTCCAGATGGGAATGAACAGGAGGGTGAAGAAAATGTGCCGGAGGAAGCGTATGAGAAAGATGGATACGACGATGTTTTTCATGACCTCTTGCCAAAATTGAAAGAAAAGGGTTATGTAGATGTTGGTTCTTCTTCTATTGATAAGTGATGATTTGGTGGTTACTTGTTGATGCTATTTGGATTGGATCTATTGTAATTTGTGACTTTATGAAGTTTATGACTTTATGTTCTAGTATTTGAGACATTAATTTGGTGATTTAAATCTATTTTATATGCAAAAATGATTGAAACTTGACTTGTGGAGTGATTTAGATGTAGAAATGTAGGGTTGTACGTTTAATTTTAGGCAATTTTAGCAATCTTGTTCGTGTAGGGGGCTGTCCCGTTCGGTTACTCGGTTATATCGGAGCCGATTGTGGTGTTGCTGTTGTCTCGGTTAACCGAGCAACTAACCAGTAACCGACCAGTCGGTTGTCGGATAACCGAGGGGATCTGTCGGTCAGTTGGCGGTAGGGTTTGCTGGCTTCGCGGTTAACTGGTAACCGACCGATCGGTTACTGGTTATAACCGAAATAACTGAACCTCCAGCCCTAATGGCAATAGTACAATTCATGAAAATATGGAAACGAACTGTCCTAATTAGAGACCAACGCAGCAACGGTGGAAGTAATCCTCCAAATTCATCTCGAAACCCAAACAAAATTCTGGTTGTCGGTGAATAAGAGGAGAATAGAGGGAGAAGCTTGTCGAAGGAGGAGGTGGGTTAGAGGTGGCCGAGGGATGAGGTTCTGGTGCTGGTAAATATGAGGTGGAATCCACAACCACAACAACAAGAAGGACATATCCGTACTTTCACCAACTGAGCATCTTATACGGCTTGGTGGCGGCAATGCAAAAGTTGTCGGTGTGGGAGGAGAGGTGGGAGATGAAGTTGAGGAAGGACGACGTAGCTATTGGAGGCTGGGCTTCGCGCTGGGACGTGGGATCAAGAAGCTTAGAGATCGGCAGTGAGGGGGAGCGACCATTTTTTTAACGGCGATGCGGGATCAAGAAGCTTAGAGATCGGCAGTGGTTGAGGTGATTACCATGGTCGAGCAATTAGGGATCTTATGGCTAGAAATCTGGGTCGAGCGATGATGAGAAAGGCGGTGCCGCCAGTCCATGAGATATAGGAAATTAAAATAAATATTTTTATTTTATTTTTAATGTTAGTGATGATGAGGTGAATATTATAAACTATAATTTTTTTTATTTTTTATTTCCACATCACACTTTTAATGGTCAGCTATCAGAGTTGACTGCCACATCAGCAAAAGTTAACGAAAACTAACAACCATTGACTAAACTTGAACTGTTAACCTAATTTAAGTGACTAAGGATATAATAAAGTAATTCTATTGGCTAACGTGAACTTTACTAGTAATTCAAGTGACTAAACTTACAATTTAGCCACCAATTATTTTACGATACAAGGCTCCATCGGATAACGGTTCTCCAAAGGTGCGACCTAACTTCTGATTTAGCTCCATAGGGGTGCAAACCAGTTTGCAGTCCTCAAAGTGATGATCAATGAGATTATAATGAATATACTATATTATACCAAGGAAAATCCCCATGGAGTTACGAGTAACCTCTAGCCCTAGAAAATTGGATAGTTCACATTAGCATTTATTTTGGGTAAATTGCAAATTTTGTCACTATATTACTAAGAAGTTCTCGTTTGCCACTAAAAATATTTTATACCATTCATGGTCACTCAAATTATTTCAATATTCCATGTTTGTTCACTCTCTGTTACCTTCCTTCAGTCTCTGTTAACAGGTATGTTTAGTATTGACGTGGCTAACAGAAACGTCCAATCATCCTATTTTAACCCAAAAAATTATGCCTGACTTGCCACATCATTAAAACCTGCCACATAAGATAACCCAACCCAATCCAATACTCGAACCCTTCGTCTTCTTCCTCTATTTATGAGAAATTAACTACTATTGTTACAAAGTCGATAGTTATAGTTATAAATGTGTATTATTTTCCTTAAAATAAACCTTTTCAAACAAACTAAGGTCTCTGCCGCTTTCGACGATCCTCCTCACGCCTCTGTCTCCTTCTACCTCCCCTAGCATCACTCTCATTGTCCTGGGGAAAGTTAATTTGCTAACTTGAAGATTCGTTAGCAGATACTAACTGATATCCAAAATACATTAACTAATATCCAAGTAGTAAAGTATCTAGAGAGCACAGACTAATATTCAAAGTTTGCTAACTGATATCCACCATGAATCAACTATTATCTCAAATTGACAAACTAATATCTAGACAACACAAAATAGTATCCAAACAACACATAATTAGTATCCGAATAACACATAAGAGTATCCATATTGAATACTAGTTGGTTGATTGTGGATATTAGTTGGTATCTGCTATCTGGATACTAGTTTATGATGTTTTGAATATTAGTCTGTGTTATCTAGATACTTAGCAGACTTGGATATTAGTTCATACATTTTGGATATTAGTTAGTATATACTAACGAATCTTCAAGTTAGCAGAATAACTGGGCTGCCTTGTCCCACTTCCATATCAAACTCATGCCAAAATTGACCAAAAGAAAAAACAAAGAACAATATGGTTTTACATGGTATCCCTTGAATTTCAAGACTAATCCACAGAAGAGTATATTAAACTCTTCAGACTACTGGTCTTATTAACTTTCGATGTCACAGTAGCATGCGAAGATGACACTAAACCAAGAGATATGAACTCAAGAAAAAGACACACTGAACAAACCCCATAGACACTACAAAAAAAAGTCTATGGCAAGAGTTTTTTCTACCTATAGAAAGGGTTTTAACCCCTGCTACGAGTTGTAGCAAGGGTTTCGCCAACCCCTGCATGAACCCTCGCCAATGTTGCCCCTGCTACATGTAGTAAGGGTTCTTAGCAACCAACGGTGAAAGTTCCGTCTAAGGGTTCTATAAGGGGTTTCAAACCCCTGCTAATGTATCAAGGGTTAAAACCCCGGCAACAATTCAATGTAAAATCAAACAGTAAGATGTTTGTATCAGGGGTTAAAACCCTTGCTTAATTTGTCACTAAATTAATTGCAACCAACTAAGGATCGTTACTAAAGAGACATATTTTGAACAAACTCAAAACCGTCGCTAAAGAAAACCATGAAAATCTATAACTTGGTTGCAAATGTTCTGGTCACTATAGATAAAATCCAAAACCAAGCTATTTCTTGCAAAATTTTCTATCAATATCATTCTCAATAGCCAAATCATACAATACACTATACACCATCAATATTTCATGATTTATTCCATGATTCATGGTCCAACATAATCCAAAGAACTATAGTTTACTACTCATAATATTCTAAGTACTCAAAAGAACCGAATGATCTACACATGATCCAACATCCTTTAAAATCAAAGGAAATACCCCTTGAAATATCTTTCTGTCTTTTATGACTCTCCTTGGTAGCACATCAAACCTAGTAGCTTCATTTCCACATGAAATTTTCCATTCCTGTGATAGCATCAAGACGACAAGACAGGATCCAATTATTCAGATTACTAAAATTTCAAGAGTTCAGCCATTGAGAAGGCAGTACATTGTCAATTGACCCGCTGGTAAAAGTCCAAAGGGGACGATAGAAAACTCCAAATGAAGCTTACCCCACATGCTCATTACAATCGCTTGTTCCATAAGAACATTGGCGATAAAATCTAACATATATATGTATCAAGATAGATCCCATTAAACCACCTCTGCATCCTAACTAAAGGTTAAGGTGGGAAGCTTTTCCAGTTTCCAGTTTCCAGTTTCACGGTTATGATTAAGTAAAACTGGTCTCTGTATGCTACTGCTTCTTAAAAAAAATGGCATTCCCTGGCAGTACACCATTAAGGATTTGCGTGTAGTTCCTGTAGATAAATGACTTCCAAGCTAAAAGAGGATACTTGAGGCATGCACAATCCAAGTTCTCAAACCTAAAGGAAACCCTAGCACTAGTACATTAAATAGAGTACTTTCCAACTAGAAGGGATCATCTTATCGAAAGAGAGCAAGGGAGAACCTACCTTCAATAAACAATTGGGATGTAGTGCAACCCCATCTGCGGCTCTGTCAACTTTGAACCAATCAACTGCTATTAAGTTATTAACTGGAGAAGGGATCTCCACCCACCACCTGAATTATTATTACAACCAGTGTAAGCATAGAAAAGAAAACTAGTCGCCTAGCATGAGAAGTGTACAACAACACTTATTCTGTTTCATAACTATATATAATAATAGTTTTTATTATGAAAACTGCCCTAACTAACAATGTATTGATGGTTTAGGGTATACAATCAACAACATATACTAACTTAATATTGTCGATTGAGGGTAAGACTAAGTGTATAGGATATATGTTATTGAGTAAATTATGATTGAAGTCCCAATAATTTTACTAGATTTGATAGTTAATCTTTAATGGTTCAATTTTCAGGATAATTCGAACAATTTTACAAATAACTCGTTTAGCAACAGTTTACTGAAGTTATTTGGGCAATCAGTTATTTCGAAATAACTCCTTTTATCACTCTGCTTTTGTCTAATACCACACACCAAATACCACATTTGCATGGTTATACTAAATGATATACTTTAATCCAATTACACTGCTGAAATAATACTAAAATATCAAATAAATAATTAATGGTAAGTTTTGATCGTAAGTATTGATATCACCATTACTATTAGCTAGTGTACTTTACCAATTACGATTAATTACATAACAAGTTTGCAAGTCATACAAATTGATTTAACATTTTGACTCGTTTATTTCAAAAAAAATTAAGTATATGTATATATATACGAGGTAGAAATAAATTGGTTAAAATAAATATATTATTTTCAAAATAAATTTGTTCATTCTCAACCTAATTAAAATCATTCACATTTAGTTAAGAAAGTTCAAAATCTGAAATTCACTTCAAATTATGGTTTTTAATTACAAAAATTATGACATGAATTTCTTTCACCAAATTACAAAAAAGTAAATATAAAATCAGTACAATGCTAATATTTATAACTAAGACCTTTTGTCTATAATAATAAACATTATTATTGGAGAAGATGACAGGGTAAGAACTAAGAAGTAATTTTGGGCGGGTGTAATTGTAGTGGGCGGGTGATGATGAAATTTTGGGCGGCCGAATTTTAGTTGTGGTGGGAAGGCGAGATTTCAAATTTCGATTGTGGTGATTTTGACTAGTTTTTTTTAATTAAGTATATATACAAGGTAGAAAGAAATTGATTAAAAACTATGAAAAATATTTTAAATTAGTGGAATAAA